CTGCAGGAAAGGCAGCAGGAGCAGAAACCGCCGCTACAGCCCCTGTGTAACCAACAGCCCTCCTCCCCAAGTTCCATAGCCTCCTCACCCAGACGCCCAAGAACACGGTGGGGGGGCCTCCGGCCACCCAGTCACTCCACCCCAGATGATTGCCCTAGCATCAGAAGGCTGGCCTTCAATAAGAGTTAAAGTTTTAAACTGCAGTGTGTTCTTTTCCTTCCCTCCTCCCCCACCCATTCCGGGCTACCTTTGCAATTATCCCCCTAGTTGTGTGATGAATTAATAAAGAATGCATGAACGTGAAGTAACAATGACTTTATTGCCTCTGCAAGTGGTGCTCGCAGGGGGGAGGGGAGGGTGGGGGAGGGTGGGGTGGTTGGTTTACAGGGAAGTAGAGTTAACCGGGTGGGGGGGGAGGGGCGGAGGGTTCATCAAGGAGAAACGAACAGAAGTTTCGCACCGTAGCCTGGGCAGTCACAAAACTCGTTTTCAAAGCTTCTCTGATGCGCACCGCGCCATCCTGTGCTCCTCTAACCGCCCTGGTGTCTGGCTGCGCGTAATCAGCGGCCAGGCGATTTGCCTCAACCTCCCACCCCGCCATAAATGTCTCCCCCTTACTCTCACAGATATTGTGGAGCGCACAGCAAGCAGCAATAACAATGGGGATATTCTTTTCGCTAAGGTCTGAGCGAGTCAGTAAGCTGCGCCAGCGCGCTTTTAAACGCCCAAATGCACATTCCACCACCATTCGGCACTTGCTCAGCCTGTAGTTGAACAGGTCCTGACTCCTGTCCAGGCTGCCTGTGTACGGCTTCATGAGCCATTGCATTAAGGGGTAGGCTGGGTCCCCAAGGATCACGATAGGCATTTCAACATCCCCAATGGTTATTTTCTGGTCCGGGAAGAAAGTCCCTTCCTCCAGCTTTCGAAACAGAGCAGACTGCCTGAAGACGCGAGCATCATGTACCCTTCCCGGCCAGCCCACGTTGATGTTGGTGAAACGTCCCTTGTGATCCACCAGGGCTTGCAGCAGCATTGAAAAGTACCCCTTGCGGTTTATGTACTCGGTGGCTTGGTGCTCCGGTGCCAAGATAGGGATATGGGTTCCGTCTATGGCCCCACCACAGTTTGGGAATCCCATTGCAGCAAAGCCATCCACTATGGCCTGCACGTTTCCCAGAGTCACTACCCTTGATATCACCAGGTCTCTCATTGCCCTGGCAACTTGGATCACAGCAGCCCCCACAGTAGATTTGCCCACTCCAAATTGATTCCCGACTGACCGGTAGCTGTCTGGCGTTGCAAGCTTCCACAGGGCTATCGCCACTCGCTTCTCAACTGTGAGGGCTGCTCTCATCTTGGTATTCTGCCGCTTCAGGGCAGGGGAAAGCAAGTCACAAAGTTCCATGAAAGTGCCCTTACGCATGTGAAAGTTTCGCAGCCACTGGGAATCGTCCCACACCTGCAGCACGATGCAGTCTCACCAGTCTGTGCTTGTTTCCCGGGCCCAGAATCGGCGTTCCACGGCATCAACCTGCCCCAGGAACACCATGATTTCCACATTGCTGGGGCCTGTGCCTTGTGAGAGGTCTATGTCCATGTCCATTTCCTCATCACTCTCGTGGCCGCGCTGCAATCGCCTCCTCGGCTGGTCCCGGTTTTGCTTTGGCATGTCCTGGCTCTGCATATACTCCAGGACAATGCGCGTGGTGTTCATAGTGCTCATAATTGCCGCGGTGATCTGAGCGGGCTCCATGATCCCAGTGCTAGCTATGGCGTCTGGTCTGAAAAAAGGCACGAAACTAGTATCTGACGGAACAGGGGAAGGAGGGAGGGGCGAGTGACGACATGGCGTACAGGTACAGGGAATTAAAATCAAGAAAGGTGGCTGTGCATCAGGGAGAAACACAAACAACTGTCACACAGAATGGCCCCCCCCAAAGATTGAACTCAAAAGCCTGGGTTTAGCAGGCCGTTGATTTGACGGAGGGAGGGGGGAAGCAAATGAATACAGAACAAATCTATTTTTTACATCTTAAGACGACGGTGCAGCATGACTGATAGCCCTCGGCATCTTCTGGATGCTTGGCAGCAAATACTGGGCGCTTGGCAGTAGCCTTCAGGCCTATTGCACGATCTGCTGCTCAGGGAAGACTCTGCTAATGTGCGATGATCCAACAGGGCGCTTGGCAGAAAATGGCATACTACGACTGATAGCCATCATCATCATTGTGAAGGCAGCAGGATGGCGGACTGGGGGACATACGGAGTTCCAGCCACTGCTGGACTGAGCATGTCTGCCCAGGTGCCCATGATTGACAGCCACTGCTGTACGACGAGGACGGTTACCAGTCGTAATAAACCATCTACTGCCAAAAGGCAAAAGACAAAGGCTGGTGCAGTGCAGCCCCACGGCTGCCAGCACCCAGATCGCCGATGAAGGCTACCAGTCATGCTGCACCATCTACTGCCAAAAGGCAGTTAGCTGCTGCTGCTGTGTAGCAATGCAGTCCCACGTCTGCCGGCACCCAGATGACATATGGTGACGGTGAGCTGAGCTGAGCAGGCTCCATGCTTGCCGTGGTATGTTGTCTGCACAGGTAACCCAGGTAAAAAGGTGCGAATCTATTGTCTGCCGTTGCTGTGACGGAGGGGGAGGGGCCTGACGACACGTACCCAGAACCCCCCACGACACTGTTTTGCATCATTCGGGCATTGGGATCTCAACCCAGAATTCCAATGGGCAGCGGAGACTGCGGGAACTGTGGGATAGCTACCCATAGTGCAATGCTCCGGAAGTCGACGCTAGCCTCGGTACTGTGGACGCGGTCCGCCGACTAGAGCACTTAGAGCATTTTATGTGGGGACACACACAATCGGCTGTATACAACCGATTTCTATAAAACCGGCTTCTATTAATTCGACCTAATTTTGTAGTGTAGACATACCCTTGGTTTGACACAATTTGTTCTTGACAAATCCATGCTGTTACTTGTTAACTTACCTTGTAGGTGTTTGCCAATTAATTGTTTATTTGCTCCATTATCATTCTGGGTATTGAAGTTAAGCTGACTGACTGGTCTGTAATTCCCCAGGTTGTCCTTATTTCCCTTTTTCAGATTGGCATATTTTCTCCTTTCCAGTGCTCTGGAATCTCTTCCATCTTCTGTGACTTTTCGAAGATAATCACTAATAGCTCAGATATCTCCTCAATCATCTCCCTGAGTATTCTAGGATGTATTTCATCAGACCCTGATGACTTGAAGCATCTAACTTGTCTAAGTAATTTTTAACTTGTTCTTTCCCTATTTTAGCCTCTGATCCTACTTCATTTTCACTGGCATTCACTATGTTAGACATACAATCGCTACTAACCTTTTTGGTGAAAAACAAAAAAGTCATTTAGCACTTCTGCCATTTTCACATTTTCTGTTATTGTTTTTCCCCCCTCACTGAGTAACGGGCCTACCCTGTCCTTGGTCTTCCTCTTGCTTCTAATGTATGTTTTCTTGTTACCCTTTATGTCTTTAGCTAGTTTAAACTCGTTTTGTGCCTTGGCCTTTCTAATTTTGTTTCTACATACTTGTGTTATTTGTTCATATTCATCCTTTGTAATTTGACCTAGTTTCCACTTTTTGTAGGACTCTTTTTTGACTTTCAGATAATTGAAGATCTCCTGGTTAAGCCAGGGTGGTCTCTTGCCATACTTCCTATCTTTCCTACACAGTGTGGTAGTTTGCTCTTGTGCCCTTAGAAAAATTGCCAACTCTTGAACTGTTTTTCCCTAGACTTGCTTCCCATGATATCTTACCTACTAACTCCCTGAGTTTGCTAAAGTGTGCCTTCTTGAAATCCATTATCTTTATTGTGCTGTTTTTCCCTCCTCCCATTCCTTAGAATCATGAACATTACCATTTCATGATCACTTTCACCTAAGCTGCCTTCCACTTTCAAATTCCCAACCAGTTCCTCCCTATTTATCAAAATCAAATCTAGAACAGCCTTTCCCCTTGTAGCTTTCTCCACATTATGAAATAAAAAACTGTATTGAATACATTCCAATAACTTGTTGGACAATCTATGCCCTGCTGTGTTATTTTCCCAAAAGATGTCTGGGTAGCTGAAGTCCTCCATCACCACCAAGTTCTGTGCTTTGAATGATTTTGTTAGTTGTTTAAAAAAAAGCCTCATCCACTTCTTCTTCCTGGTTAGGTGGTCTGTAGTAGACCCCTAACCTTTGTATCCAAATACAAACATTCGTAAAAAGTGTAATGTATGCATTTTGGACACGTTATTTTCTGCTTTACAGTTTCACGTTTTAAAATATTCCACATTTTCTTATCTAAAAGCCTCATCTATTTTAAACTTAGCAAAGCACATTTGCAGAAGCACATGGGAGGTCATGGCCACCACACAAGGGCAACTCTATGTGGATAGTATCAGAGGGGTAGCTGTGTTAGTTAGTATCCACAAAAACAATGAGGAGTCTCTGGTGGCACCTTAAAGACTAACAGATTTATTTGGGCATAAGCTTTCCTGGGTAAAACCCCCCACTTCAGATGCATGGAGTGAAAATTACAGATACAAGCATATCTGTAATTTTCACTCCATGCATCTGAAGAAGTGGGTTTTTTTACCCATGAAAGCGTATGCCCAAATAAATCTGTTGCTTTTTAAGGTGCCACCGGAGACTCCTCATTGTCTGTGTGGATAGCCCTTCTCTCCAGAAGTTTTTTAGGGCAAACTCATGGCACTTTCAAGCATAGCAATATTGATGTTCTGACTGAAGTACTGACTGGAAACTTCACAGATTTTACCAGCATCTATGCCTGAATAACTCATATAAGGGACCACTGAGTCCTCTTTTTTTAAAGAATTAAGCCAACCTTTCACTTGGAGTGAAATTTTGTGTAATACAATTGAAGAGATAAGAAACTTTTCCAGAGTTTTCTGTGAAATAGATTTTTCTTAGTGTCAGTTTTATTATTTTAAGCAACTACCTGCTCTTCACGAGATACCCCTTTCTTTGGCTGTTGCTTCCGCAGATCTTCATACTTTTTCTTCTCCTGTAAATATTCTGTAACTATGCTGTTTGGATCAGCTTCTTCCTCTGAAATAGAAAACAATTTTTTTTGCTAAACAAGTGCAGTGAAAGTATACTTTGTGATTTAATATCAGTGTACAGGCTTGTCATGTCTTCTGAATTACCAGACAAAACACCTTATGAAAAGCTTTTGGATATATAACTGCCTCATCATTTAAGTCTCTTGCTGTAAGTCACTCTCTCAACCCTCAAATCATCTCTGTGGTTCCAGCTTACCAAATGATCCAGATCAATCTATATGACTCCCCTGTCGTCCTTATTATTTACCATTCCACCAACATGTGCATTATCCCAAATTTCATCAGCAATGATTTTATATTTACTTTGAGATCACCGATGAAAATGTTGAATAGCATCAGGCCTTGTCCTGACCCCTGTAGGACCCACTAGAAACCCCATTCAATGATGATTCCCCACTGACAACTACTTTTTAAGGCTGATCAGTTAGCCAGTTCTTAATCCATTTAACGTGTGTTATACTGATATTGTATAGTTCCAATTTTCTCATCAGAATGTCACACAAAAGTCAAATTTTTACAAAATTCTAAGTATATTACATCCACGCAGATACCTTTGTCAACCAAACTTGTAATCTCATCAAAGAATGAAATGAAGTTTGTTTAGCAAGACCTGTATTCCATTAAACCACATAACTGGCATTAATTATATTCCTATCCCTTAATTCTTTATTAACTGAATCCCATATCAGCTTGTCCATTATTTTGCCTAGGGCTGATGTCAAACTAACTGTTCTACTGTCCCTCAGGCCATCCTGCTTGCCCTTTTTGAATACTGGCACATTAGCACTCTTCCAGACTCGGCTTACAATATAAAACAAGTGTATAAGACAAATTAATAGAGAGAGGGGGTGGGAAAGAAGACAAGAGTAAAAGAAATAAGATAGATAACTGACCGCCTAAGCCAAAAGTTCCTGATTGTTTCAGGTGTTGTGGAATGTTTGTTTTTTTACCTAGATAATTCAGTACAGGTTTGCAAAATAATATCCAATATGCAACAGATGAAGTTTAGAAGCGGAAAAAGACTTGTTAGACTAGATAATCTATCTCCCTGCCAATGACAATGCAAAGTGAAGTTTGCATTCACAGTTAAGATCAAAGCATCCAGCCTAGCATGCCTGATCTGATCCCACAAATTTTTGAGGTCAATAACACTGGCTACTAATGTTTTTCACAAAGTACAGTCCTACAACAAAATGGACAACATACTGGATAAGCACAACCAAATTCATGCAGAAGCACAACCAAATTCATAGTACAACAATCTTTTTCTGGGTGTCAAATTTAAATCCTTTGAGAAGGTTATTCAAGCAGCCATACCACCTGTCTAGTTTTGCTGCTCACTGGTTCTTGGTCTTTTGAGAGATTTAGTCACCTGGTTTAATAGGTTTTTTACACATCTCCCTCCGCCCCTCAATACATTTTCATTTCCAGCCAAAATGAACAAGCAAACAGCTTGAGAACAGCTGGGAGGCCTAACTGCCTTTCATTATTGTGCATCTGTGATATCAGGGTTAAATCCTGCCTTAGGGTCCATCTGGAATGCATAGAAATGTAGTACTGTTGAAATATTTCTACATGGTGCAAAGAAAAATTAACAAGTAAAGACATCACAGTTTGGCAAACAAAATGCATAACATACATTTTTGCCCTATACAGTGGGCTTTTAAAGACAATTTTGTAAAGGTCAATCTTTTTATTAGGACTGCCACGGTGAAGAGGGGGAAATTACTTCCTCTATCAAAGATGTCTGTGAAAGTCTTTTGTGATATGTTAATTGGAACTTCTATGGCAGTAATAAGGTCTTGTCATTTAGAATCTGTTCAAATTCAACTGTCTTTTTGCTAGATTGTATGGTATGATTTACAGTCATGTTTGAGGATTTGTGAATGCTTTGTTACCAAAAGTTTATACACACACCATCAACAACTATTTAAAACAATCCTTAGTTCTTGACTGCAAAGAAAATTGCTAGCTTGTTAGAATAACTTTCCAAGGATTCCTAACTATATAGATAAGGAATACTACAACAAACAGATTACAATTCAGGTTCTGCTTCTCTGGCTATGAAATGGGATGGGCTGGATGTGGAATGTCTTGTAGGTAAAAGGAATTTCTATCCCCTGCCTGGTGTAAAAACCCATTTGGACCTTCTGCATTGCAGCATGTGTGGGGAAGGAAAGGCTAGGCTCTGGGTGCTCTGGGGGAGAGACAGGGTTTTGGGTTCCATTGCTACTTGGTCCTCTTGTCTTCTGTTCTGCGGGGGATGGGGCTGCAGAGCCTACTTCAGCCAATAAACTAGACCAGGTTTTGTAGCCACTCTGTGGCTTGAGGGAAAGGATTCCTTCACCACAGCAGCCTTGTGCATCTGCCTAGCATCTAACCTGGCTAGTCGGCTGGCTGCTGGGCAGAGAGTTTAGCTTTCAGGGCAATCAGAAAAGTTCTGTTACAGTATTTAGAACCCACCAGAAAGAGTGAGCAAATCACACAAAATCTGGTAATGCAATTCAACTAAACAAAAAACAAACAAAACAAAAAAAGAGAAGAGAAATACAGGTATCCAGATGACATGCCTTATAACTAAAATGATCAAGGCAGGAGCAAAGAGGGTAACAAATTGAACTGGTATAGCTGCATAACTCTTTACTAAGAAGCACATCAACTGTGATATTTTTGCTCTCATTATTGATACTCTATAATTCAGCTAATTTATGCTATATCTATATATATCTATCTATCTATATATATGTGCTAATTTAAAATCCTGTTGTAGTATGAATAGAAATTCTAATTCTAGGTCACTGTTAGAGGTTTCTAACATTTTTTTTAGCTTTAAACAGGTATGTTTCTTTCCCTCCCAGGCCTGTACAGCTTTACTCATGATACAAAGACACCCTGGTTTTAGGTGAAGGTATATGAAAGAGTCTTTACTTTTTTTAACTCTCTAAAACAGTTCTAAAGGAGATTTTCTGCACAATATATGTAATAATATCAGAATACATGATGGTATGTTATGAATACATGTTTTATTGACACTCATTTGGAATGACTATATAACTCATCACATTCATGTATGCTTTGGTTCCTGCGCTGCAAGCTTATAGGGACAAAATCAGAAAGGCTAAGCCACAAAAGGAGTTACACCTAGCAAGGGACATAAAAGGCTATAAGAACAAGTTCTTTAAAAACATTAGAAGCAAAAGACATGAAGGAAAGTGTAGGTTCCTCTACTTAGTGGGAAAGGGAGAGCTAATAACTGATGAAATCAAGAAATCTGCATTGTTTATTGCCTGTTTTGCTTCAGTCTTCACTAAAAAGGTTAATGGAGAGCAGATAATCAACACAATTAATATTAACAAGGGGGAAGGAACACAAGCCAAAATAGAGAAAGAACAGCCTAAAGAATATTTTGATAAATTAGCTACATTCAAGTTGGCAGGGCATGATGAAATTCATTCTAGGGTACTTAAGGAACTAGCTAAAGCAATCGTGGAATCATTAGCAATGATCTTTGAGAACTCCTGGATGATGCGTCCAAGAGAATTGGAGAAGGGCAAACATAATACCTGTCTTTAAAAAGGGAACAAAGAGGACGCATGGAATTATAGACCAGTCAGCCTAACTGCGATACCTGGTAAGAGACTGAAACAAATTATTAAACCATCAATTTGTAAGCACTTAGAGGATAATAGGGTTATAAGGAATAGCCAGCATGGATTTGTCATGAACAAATCATGCCAAACCAACCTAATTTCCTTCTTTAACAGATTTGCTGGCCTGGTCATAGGGGAAAGGAGTAGACATGATATATCTTGATTTTAGTAAAGCTTTCGACACCGTCCTACATGACATTCTTTTAAATAAACTAGGGAAATATATGAAATTACTAGAAGGTGGGTGCACAACTGGTTGAAAGCCAGAGACATTACCACAGAACATCTATAGACACAAATTCTGTGCTTGAAGAACAAGTGTATAGCAGTAGGAATATTCTACCAACCATCTGACCAGGATGGTGATGGTGACTGTGAAATTCTCAGGGATATTAGACAGGCTACAAAAAACCCAATAATAAGGAGGATTTCAACTATCCCCATATTGACAGGGTACATGTCACCTCAGGATGAGATGCAGAGATAAAATTTCTAGATACCATTAGTGATTGCTTCTTGGAGCACCTAGTCCTAAAACTCACAAAGGGAGAGGCAATTCCTGATTTAGCCCTAAGCAGCGCAAGGATCTGGTCCAAGAACTGAATATAGCGGAACTGCCTGGTAATAGCAACCAACATCCTTGTGGGGGGAAATTACCAAAGAAACCTATCATAATAGCACTGAACTTCAAAAAGGAGAGCTACGCTAAAATGAGGATAGTTAAACAGAAATTAAAGGGAACAGTCACAAAAGTGAAATGCCTGCAAGCTGCAAGGAAACTTTTTAAAAACACCATAATACAAGTTCAAACTACATGTATACTCCAAATTAAAACAGTAAGAGAACAAACAAACAAAAGCCACCATGGCTAAACAACAGAGTAAAAGAGGCAGAGAGAGACAAAAATATATCTTTTAAAAATTGGAAGTCAAATCCTACTGAGGAAAATAGAAAGGAACAAACTCTGGCAAGTCAAGTATAAAAGTTTAAATAAGCAGGCCAAAGAAGAATTTGAAAAGCAACTACCAAAAGACAAAAAACTAACAGCAAAATTGTTTTGAGGTATATCAGAAGCAGGAAGACCTGCCAAACACACAGAGGGGCCCACTGGAAGATTGAGGTGCTAATGGATCACTCAAGGAAGACAAGAAAACAGAGTAGGAATAAGTGGTCAGTTTTTGCAATGGAGAGAAGTAAATAGTCGGATCCCTCAATGGTCTGTGCTGGGACCAGTGCTGTTCAACAGGGAGGTGGCAACATTTGCAGATGATACATTACTTAAGATAGTTAAGTTGAAAGCTGACTTTGAAGAGTTACAAAGGGATGTCACAAAACC